TGCATTCAGAACTGATCATGTAATCATGCTGTTCAACGGCATCGCTCATGCGACGTCGCGCACGCGGCAATTAGCGGCAACGCGGCGTAGTGCGCGCGAAGTCTGCTGTGCGTTGAGGTTCATGAAAATTACTTTCCGATGAATTAGATGCAAAAGGTAAGCATGATTCGGCCTTCTTTTGCTTGCACTTGGAATCTTCTTCCGGGGTACTCCCCGGATCTCGCAAAAACGATATCCACTTTGCTTTTTGGCCCCAAAACGATTTCCAGCTTGTCATTTGCCACCTCGTGCCGGGCCCTGCTCAGTAGTCCACAGCTGATCGTAAGATACGAGTAGTGGGCATGTTTGCAAAGTGTTCCATATGATTCCTTGATCAACTGAAACACCCTTCACCCGGAAGGGCTGCGACCGCTGTGACACCCTTCACCCTGGAAGGTCATTCTCACCTTATCGCACTTGTGTGGGGGAGTTTGGAAACGACTGGGTAGATTTTTCGAAAGAAGCTTTCAAAAAGCGGTCGGTTGTAAAAAACTTTCATCTGAAGAGATGACCACAATCACGACGCAAATCGAAGCTATAAACAACACTAGACCTTCAGCGACTTTACTGTTTGACAGCATAATAGGGAAATGCCTTCTTTCAAAAATTTACAAAGCGTGCTTTCAAGGACGCGGCAGTGGAGTGACAACCAGCGTCGAGCAAGAGGCGTGGCACACAGCCCCGCTTATGACTCCTCCTCCCCCCCCCCCAGTATCATTCGCCCCGTAGGCATGCTATTTAAGGCTCTACCAAGCTTAGCGAATTCTGATGGTTCCCAATACTGGGCCACTCAAGTGAAGAGGTTATTTTCAAACATTGTTAATTACACTAATTTCACGCGTACAAGGCGCGCGGGATTTTTTTCTAAAATCCGCCAGCCCAAACACGCCACAACACTTTGCGGCCAAAGAATCCGTATTGCCTGAGAGAATTGAACGGTTTAAAGGCACCGCCCACCCAAATTGGTGTTGGTAAGATTATGATACCTAGCAGCTGCGGGGCCCCCAACTGTATGATTGCCCAACTTGCGCTGCCTAAAGTTGCTTCCGAAGCGAGAAAATTACTTCGGAAATCGCTTCAGGTGACGGTTCGCCACGTTGGCACCTCTTCTTTCGGCTGGACGTGACGTTCGTCCCGCCCATCCGTGCGCGCCCAACCAATCACCGTTCCGAAGAAATCGCTCTACGGGTTCTGAAAACGGGAGTTTTTCTTGGTTTTCACGGATTTCCGACTTGATATTCGGAATCAGGAGTAAAGCCCTGGAACGGCAAAAACATGGAGGTCGAAATTTAGGGTGGACGGTGCCTTTAAGGTTCGCTTTCCGAAACACACTGAAGCGGTTGAGCGGCTTGTTTGAGAATTCGAAAAAGGTGCGCCTTGTACGCGTGAAATTAGGGTATATCTCTACAGTAAATTAGCTACCTCTTTTTGCACTCAATACAACTCAAACTGTGGAATTAGGGCCAGCCAGGATCTCATTTCCATCTTTCGCTTGCAGTGGTTGTCCTTCCAACAACTACTGCTCAAATGAAAAGGAGACGAATTCAGCTCCAATCATTTCACAAAAACTAGGAAATATTTGCTATCAAACCATACATGTTTTTTCGCAAAAATTCTCCTTGGAAGTGAGTTAATGGGATGTGGCACAATCTCAGAAAAATGTGGCTGCCTGACCTTTTTACAGTTGTGCCACCATTACCCTAGAGCATTCGAATATCTAAGATTTTCATACTGTTGCCACTGCAGACCTATTTTCTATATAGCGGAAATTTTATTCAGAATCGTTTCTACTAGGGAAAGATATAGTCGTTTTTCCTTTCCTATGGAATTGGAGCTGCGGAAGTATTGGGTTACGGTAACATGCTAAGTCTGCTTTATAAAAGAACTAGCTGGCTTGCCCGGCTCCGCCGGGCCTGCCAGCTAGACCCGTGTACGTATGTTCCGAATAGAAATTTTTATCTCTGAACCGATTGGGACCGAACTTTGCACACATACACTTCGGGGCAGGGAGCGTGTCACAGCCCACTTTTCGTTATCGATCGATAACGAAAAGTGGGCTGTGACACGCTCCCTGCCCCGAAGTATATGTGTGCCAAGTTTGGTCCCGATCGGTTCAGAAATAAAAATTTGTATTCGGAACATACGTACATACATACAGACAGACAGACATACAGACAGACATACAGACAGACAGACAAACAGACATTCAGCTTTATATATAAGATTGTGGGGAAGGTGGCAAGAATAAGCATATTCGATAGCTTAAACCTCGTGATTCTCACAGAAGTGATTTAAGCTTGATTGGTCTTCCCTAATCTAAGATATTGAAAACGAATTGGGATTGATAAGATTCTTGGCTTGCTCCTAACTCCATAGTTTGAGTTTATTTGGAGTAGGATTTCTAATGCGTGCAAGGAGCTAGTAGTTCTTTGTAATTGCCAAAGAAAGTACTTAACTCATCTTTGAAACAAAGTCGACACGTGCGAAAATGACCATCCAGCTGGCTTGTCTAATACCTGCAAACCTCAAAACTTGACCCACAAGGGGTTATTTGTCATGCTGATCATGAAGTTGATGCTTTTATACTCTTCGAGCTGTTCTATTACGTTTACTGTACGTATCTGATAATAGGCCAAACCATTGAAGTAGGTAATGAGCTGTCTGATATTTTTGACGAATATCATGTTGTAGCTAACATTAGTATCACCTTGATAACGGCCCCCCCCCCCTTTCCTGACCATGACAGAACGACCCCCCAGGTGTGGCGCGCCACACCCCACGCTGACCCTGGCAGCGACACGCCGCAGGATAGGCGAAGATCTTATACGGGCGACGCTTGAATTGTCGCTTGGTTGCTTTGGTGAAACACAATGTTTCAAAATCGTGGAGAATTGGGCTACTCTATTGCTTTTCGAACACCTAATACATGTAAATGTGTCCCGGCATTCTTACCTTCTCTCTAGTCATTGATAATCCCTTTGCTTAACTATTTTAGAGCTAGTAAGTAAAGGTTGTTGTGTCGACTCTACTTCAATCGTGGTGACCCTCTCTATTACCGCCGTGCAAAATGCGGCAGCGAAGTGCTGACTATTCCAAATAGTTCAGGGAATCTTTGGCATCATTGCTTTCTTCCGACTTCCGCAGCTGCAGCCATTGTGCTATTCTTTGCCTCAAAATCTTATCCTTTTTTCAACACTTTTCTGCACCGCTTTGCAGGCTCGGATGCCGTTGTACTATCCTGTAATCAAAGGCAGCGGCTCGGCAGATTGACCTACCTCAGATTTTGACACAGATGGATAGGAGGCCCTCCAAGTGAACCAAGACAGCAGTCCGCCGAAAATGTGAACTCTGCAAGCCAGGGGGCGGCCCAAGCGCCGCTCCCCTTCCTCCTTTCGCTCCCCTAACACCTTGTTCGGACGAGTATTCTCCGCTAGACGGCGCGGGACCCCCCAACCGCTTCCCGCATGCATGTTATACAAAGCCAAAATTACAGGCAGCCGGGTCTTCGTGCCAGGGCCTCCCCACTTTCCTGAAAATTCTCGTCCGAGCTCTTTTTGGAAATTGAAAAAAAAACGCCCCGAAAAAGGCCTTTTCACCGCTTTTAAAGCTCAGATTCGGGATCTACGGGTCGAGAAGGCCCAAAACATGCAAAAAGGTGGAAATGCAAAATCTGCCGAGCCGCTGCCTTTAAGAGCGTCTTCAAATAGCACTCTCGAATCCGCATCGACCAAACAGGCTATCCAAATTGCGCAAGCAAACGGTTACCTACTGTCGAAGAATGAAAATACAAACGTTCGTTGAAAGGATAATGCTAGAGTTTTCAATGATGTCAGCAGCGAAAAGGTGTCATTCCTCGCCATTCATATCTGATAAGTTAAGCGCTGCGTTAGAATCTGCGTTCATAAAGCCGGCCTGCAAAATATGCTGAGAGTTGTCGAAGTCCCACCCCCAAACCTCAAGCAGCGCCTGGTGCGTAACAGAAGTTACGGTCCAGCCTGTTCAGAACCAGACTGTAATATATGCAACTCTAACAAACCGGGAGATTGCATGTGTCGTGGCGCTGTGTATTTGATATCTTGTAAATTGTGTGGGGAAGAATATATTGGAAAAACAGGAAGACCGCTATGTATACGAATTAACGAACATTTTGGACGGAATGAGAAAATCGCGGGTGTCCACGCCTCTTGGCGCACATCGTGTGCTTTGCCATCAGAACATAAAGTTCCAAATTGACATTGCATCCTTTCGAAAGAAACTGACATTGCAGCACGGAAAAGTATAGAGGCTTGTTGGATCATGTCCAAATGCCCTAAACTGAACAGAAAGGAAGAGAAAATGTCTATCAGTAGTGAGTTCGTCCCATTCTTATCATTGTGTGAATTTGAGTCTGACCTCAAAAGGCAACCTCATTCCATCACAAGAGTTGGCATATAGTGGCCTGACTAAGTGTCAAAGTGGTGGATAGCCACTTGAAGTGTATTGCTGAAGGTATGTCTACCCTTGGAGCGTCGAATTTATCAATCGACTCATCTCCCAGGTCTTGAGAAAGGCGACCCTGCCGAAACGTCGACCTGTTTACTGATGTCGTTGTATTGATAAACGGATAACAATCTTGGAAACGCTTACTAACTTACAGGGAACTAGTCTATATTAAACACAAAATGCCAAGATTAAAGGATGGTCGAGCATGGAATATCCTGTAATTCTCGTGGACGTGGAAAACATAGAATAGCCGTTCGATCTCGTGGGCAGTGTCGATGATGGTAGTATCTGAAATAACATATCACGATCAACTTTGCTCTTATTGTTGGATTAACATTCACCACTGGAAAGCAGAGCTTTAGGCATACAGCACCCTAATTCAATTGCATAAGTCATTGTTCTGAATGAAGAAAATATAAAAATTTTATTGATTCATACACGCCGTGCATTTGGAGTTTGTGGGCACTGGAGTTGAGGACATGTGGCAGCCTGTCAGATCGCATCAAATGAAATTCGCAAGAATTGAATATGCCGGGACCTTAGACAAAGAGCCAGTGAAACTTAGTGAATCGTGGAAGCAATACTATCTCTTGTGGTGTAGTCAATCACCCAAATTTTGCGATGTGAGTAGGTTTTAGTTCGAAATCAGTAATAGAAGATGAATGTTTGAATTAGGAAACGTAGAAAAGAGCATCACCATACAAAATCATAGGATAGAAGGCCTGGAAGTAATTGTCGCAATTCATGGGTTTGGTATAACGTATAATTGCTGTGTTTTGAGACAACTCTACCGACCTCAGGAGAAAACGAAAAGCCTGAAGAGGGAAAACCATCCACCGTCAAAGATATCTCACTGATTGAAAGGATCATGTGAGTTTTTTGCATGGTAATTCGAGAAAATGATTTTCTAATAAACCCGAATCCAAAGATTATATGCTTCTTATCTCTTTCGCAATCTCAGAAGCGTTATTGGCGCAATGGCTTCTGGCCTCTTCTACGGAACGATGTGGCTTCCAGTAAACTACATGATGGTAAGCTTCAAACTCTACGGCTTGTCAATATCTAGTCGCTTGGTAGTATATAGACTAACTGTATAAATTTTTCGTAAATTCTAATCAGTTGAATAAGTTGAAAGGCAAAGTGATTAAAAAACGCTTTTTTCTACAATGGACAATGTTCCATGCGATTATGTCAAAAAAGTCTCTTCTTCTGAGAAAAAATATCTTAGAAAACCTCATGCAAATATGCTTATTTATACAGAGCCACCATGAAAAGTTTCCGGACGCGCCAACTAACCCACTGCACTACTTTTTTTCATACACTTGTGGGATATTATCTACCTCCGTATGTATTTTTGTCATTTATGCGATTGTGAGGTGAGAAATACTCGCATTGCTGCGAAGCATTACGTTAGATCTTTCCAGACGCAATCGTCCATGGGTCAGTTCAAATGCAATAATTCCTGCGCTCTCTACTGGTCTCTGTTACGGTTGTGCTATGTCTGCATTCGTAGTGGCTATTGACAAACTGGATGCTGCCATTGCCTATCCTATAGGCCAGATGGCACCTGGCCTTGTAGTTTCCACGTGGAGTTTGCTATACTACAGAGAAATTATGGTAAATTCTAGTCCGTCTCTTCATTTATGAAGAGCAATTCGGAAAAAAATTTGTTATCGCATAGGGACAGCGGAGAGATTTTGTGAGAAGTGCAGATTCTGCAAAGAGTGCAGAAGAAACAAAAGTGTACCGTTCTTCCTTCTCCTATAGTGTCTGCTAAAGAAATTTGTTTGGTACTGTATGGGCAAGACCTTCTCCACCCTTTTTCTTATACCTCCACATATTTCTTTCTTCCGAGACATTTCAACAGCTTCCTAAACCAAATACACCGGAACGCAACTTGTAGCGCCAAAATCGGTTAGCTAACGCAAGCCTGACATTATTATTCTTGTTTAATCGAACCCTTTCTGAGATTGATTATATGTGCAACATTTTTTTTGTAAGTATAGAATTTGTAACAGTTTATACAGTGTACCGTCTGAAATGCATAGTTGATCACTCGAAATGTTTACGAAATTTATGCAGTTCTGTGCTGTAAAACGTGAAACCACCAACCACTGCTGCGAAGGGTGAGCGGACAGTCACCGAACCAAACGCTTTAAAGGCAGTACATCGGCAGAATGAGACCCGTGACAAAACAAGGTCACAGGGTAGGAGTCCCCATATGGAACCTATCAGCCAAAGTCCGATCTTTCTGTGCCACTTCTAATCCCCGAAATTTCAATGCGAAAGCAGCGCTCATCTCCTGTCCTCTCCGAACCCGCCCACCCCATGGACGAGTGATTTCCGCGGTCAGAGCGCCAGCCGCAATGCTATAAGCATGAGGTCCCGCAACGACTCTGCGTCTTCGCCATGACGGGCTTCGCGTTCACTCGTCCATGGGGTGGGCGGGTTCGGAGAGGACAGGAGATGAGCGCTGCTTTCGCTTTAAAATTTCGGGGGTTAGAAGTGGCAGAGAAAGATCGGACTTTGGCCGATAGGTTACATATGGGGGCTCCTACCCTGTGACCTTGTTTTGTCACGGGTCTCATTCTGCCGATGTACTGCCTTTAAGGCCCATATGCACGTTCATCCCAGCGGGGAAGGAAGGGATCTGAGAGAGGACATATCTCACTACTTTAAATATCTTTCTTCTTTTTTCTCTATCTGGCTTATGAGGGTTCTCTTACCCTGGTCCTTGCACGTAGTAAATGGCAGGTTACTGGCACATAAGATTTCCGTTATCTTGTGTGATCCCCTGGGGATCCCTAGGGGATTACCTCTTATCTCCAAAGTCAATTATCTTCCTGAAGACTCAATGAAAACGCTGTAAAATTGTACTGAGAATGTACTACGGCACTGCTAAGCATGTTTTCGACAGAAGAAATGGAATCTGAAGCTTACTAATTTTTTAATAATTCCTAGCTCGCGAATCGCGGTTCATCGAAAACTTCGATATCGTGGGATTTCAATGATTTCTACTATAAACACGTTTAGCAGTGCGACGTTTATATCCTCGGTACAAGTTTACTGCATTTTCATTGAGTTTATGGAAAGATAAATGACTTTGGAGATGTGAGGTGATCCTCTAGGGATCCCCAGGGATCCCATAGAACAGTGAACTTTTCAACTATGCCTTATCATCTGCTATGCTCAGATAATCTTAGGGCATGTGAACCTGCATAAGAAAGATAGAAAAAGAATAAAACAGATAATCAGAGGAGGAGCGAGATATGACACATCTCCTCTCAGGTCCCCTCCCCTCCCCCGGGGATGTACGTGCATGCGGGCCTAAGCGAGAAGTTAAAGCCTATAAAGTATGAAACGGGGAAATTGTAAGCCATTTCTTCTCAGGTAATCCCACCCTTCTGTGCGCTCTATCCTGCAGCTTTTCTCAAATTCTTTCATTTCCGCAAATCATAGATTATGAGCTTCAAACCGCACTCTTATTTTTCCTTTTTTTACTAAAAGATATGTCTTCCGCTCAATGACTCTACGGTATCGCTGCGCAGTTTTCGAAGATGTTCTGCAAACTCTGTCAGACTTCTTCGAAGCTCCACCTCAAAGTCAACGGCCGAGCAACAAGCCGGTTTTGAAAATTTTCGCTTACCTAGGATAGCTACGCGGTATGCGAATCCACACTGCAGAGCCCGAAAACGTCGAAAAGGCTTTGACGCACGAGGGAAGTCAGCAGGTGGGCGGGGTCTTCCACTCTGTGAAGTCACACTCCCAGCTTCCGGAGCGATCTTCTCGCTTCCGCCAGCGCCCTAACATCGCCACCGCCAAGAACGAACGCTTGGCATAAGCTGAATTCCTCCTGCGTTAGAGCTTTTTTCTCCATTTTTGCGCTCTCCAGTATGGATTTTCGGATTCAGCAAGCAAATAAACCCAGTAAAGCAAAAAATCTCAAAGACTTCTTACTTGGACGCTTCCTATAAAGAATGTGTGTGAGGAACGGCAACGCATTGCTGGAATAATAATCAGATGCATCCATACAAGTATGAGTATGAGTATGAGTTGCTACCCTGTTCTTATATTTTTTGTTGAAACAAAACAATTAATATTTTTTATCCTCGCATGGGTTCGACTTATGCAGGGTCTGCTTTTCTTATCAGGCGTCTTCATGTTTTCTGTCTGTAGCAAGGTTTCATTCATTACAAGCTGCAAAGGGCAGCCTTGATCCTGTCCATGCACCTTGCTATGTCTCTTCCGAGTCTTTTACCTGGTGCCTTCATCGTTGAAGGCAGCATCCCACCAGCTTGGTGGGTACCTGGCTCTCGTATTAATGTAATAAAGTGCGGTTCATAATTATACGAACACCCAAAATTTTGCAAATTTTCGGACTTTTTGGGAGAAACTCAAAAAGCCGTTGGTACCACGCGATAGAACACAGCCGAAAACGGTATATGATTCATAAGAATGGAAATCGATGTCGATTGTAGGAGTGTTTTTGCACATAATGCGAATTTTTAGCGGTTCATAATTATACGAACACATCAAACAAAGGTCCATTTTTCATTCAAGATTGCAATCGTTTGAGTCCAAATTTTTTGAAAAGTTGCAGTAACAAAGTCTGACACATCTGCTACACACTGAACCCAGTGCAGTTTAAAAGGAGGACCGTTACTTTTTTTAGAAGGCTCTAAATGCTTTTGGAGTGATTGGGCTCCAAAAACATCCGTTCTTCTGTGATTTACGCGCTCTAATTAGTTTCTACCAAAGCTATGAGATGAAATAAGCTCTTGCGATAGGTATTTCGTTTGACGCTTGGAAAATCTTTGCGTTTTCGTGCCGTTTTTCAACTAAGTTCCAACCTTACCACAGAGTTAGCACGATTTCGAGCCTCAAAACTCAGCTTCTTTAATGCGCAAACATTTGATATGAAGTAGCTGCATTGCCTGCATAATAATGTTTCTGTGCCAAAATTTTTGGGTTTTTTCTAGAACTGATCTTGCGGCTGTGGAGCTACAAACCAAGTAAAGGTGTGATTGCAATAGTAAAAACAGTATTTCTGGTGAAATAACGTCTGCGTGACCAAAACAAACGCTCAAACGCTGCTGATTTTTTTCTAGCCAAACACAAAGTCTTGTGAACTTTTACATACTATATGCTTACTTCACTGTAGGGCTTCAGAAGCTGAGTTTTGAGGCTCGAAATCGTGCTAACTCTGTAATAAGGTTGAAACGTGGTTGAAAAGCGGCACGAAAACGCAAAGATTTTCCAAGCGTCAAACGAAATACCTATCGCAAGAGCTTATTTCATCTCATAGCTTTGGTAGAAACTAATTAGAGCGCGTAAACCACAAAAGAACGGATGTTTTTGGAGCGCAATCACTCCAAAAGCATTTAGAGCTTTTGAAAAAAGTAACGGTCCTCTTTTTGAAATGCACTGGGTTTAGTGTATAGCAGATATGTCAGACTTTGTTACTGTAACTCTACAAAATATTTGGACTCAAATGATTGCAATCTTGAATGAAAAATGGACCTTTGTTTGAGGTGTTCGTATAATTATGAACCGCTAAAAATTCGAATTAGGCGCAAAAACGCTCCTAAGATTGGCATCCATTTCCATTCTTATGGATCATATACCGTTTTCGGCTGTGTTCTATCGCATGGTACCGATGGCTTTTTAAGTTTCTCCCAAAAAGTCCAAAAACTTACAAAATTTTGGGTGTTCGTATAATTATGAACCGCACTTTAGTAGAGCCCTTAACTAAGCGACGACACAAGTTTGCAGCGCGAAAGGGGGTCTACGAAGTCTACAAATCCCCCCCCCCCCTCCGCCAAAGTGGCCCGAATCTTACGGTAGGCTCGAGCGAGTACGAGATGATGCAAGGTAGAGTCGCAGAGTCGTTGTGGGACCCTGCACTCATGACTATGTGCGCTATACAGTAAGTTTCGGCCCGCTTTAGGCGGAAATTGGATTGGCGGGAGTCCGTCTCGCAACAGCTCGCGCCGTTTCGCAGCTACAGTATATCCTATCGTGCTGAGAACCCTGTCCTGCGTCTCTTCAATCTCCTTGGTCTTTGCTTGGCAAAATGCCAGCGCTCTGCGCTCGCAAAGCCTCCAGCGGTGCGCATGCGCTGCTCCACGTAGAATGTCTCGCCTAATCCAGGATGAAACCGACTGTACATGCTTTGGCCTTGCACTTCGAAATCAATCTGTGGGCGGCGTTCGGGCTTACCGTAAGATTCGGGCCACTTGGGGGGGGGGGGAAGGTCGATTTGTAGACTGCGTAGATCCCCTTTCGCGTTGCAAACTTCTGCCGTCGCTTAGTTAGGGAATCTACTACTACATTAATATTAGAGCCAGGTACCCCCCTCCCCCACCAATCTGGTGGAACGCTGCCTTAAACACATTCACGACAATACGACCCACCATGGGTCGTAAGATTCCTGAAGCTCTAGCTTTGCCAATTTAGATGAAATTCAAGGGGGTTCTGGCATATGATTGAGGGACACCTAGGTAAAGCTCTAGCCAGAGCAGTCCGGGCTCGGTTTACTGTAATGTAGTTTTACGGTAGGTATACCGTAGATAGATGTAAAGCACAGACTTACCTCAAATTCTTCGCGGAAGATTGCTGTATGTGGAAAATCAAGTTTGAATGCATAAGTAATACGGGGTGGACAAGAGCCCGACATTAGCCCACCAATGGGTAGAGGAACGAACGCCTCAATTAGGCATCGCCTCCGCGGGCTGCTGGTCCTTTCGTCCTACTGTTGCGCATCGTGTTACCAGTGGTCCGCGGAGGCGGGGCCTAATTGAGGCGTTCGTTCCTCCACCCCCCACCAATAAATTGTCGACTATATTAATTTTATTGGTTTTTTACATTGTTCATCCTAGAAAGCTCGGATCTTACTTATATAGGTTTTGTAACATGCTGATTACGAAAATGATAGTCTCAGATTTTAATACCATCTTCTCAAATCGGTTTCTTAATTTTTACGAAAATTCTACGGTACTGCTACCGTAGCCTCACTGCGGGACACTAGTGAACAAAATGGACACTGTAAACGTGGTCAGCACGTGAAATAACCCCAAGACACATATTTTCATGAAAATCCATGATGTTGGTAACAAGATAACTACCTTAACCTTACCGTATAACGCCAGAACTGAAACAAATTGTGTTTTGAAATCAGCGCCTTCGATAAATCCGTTGGAAAAAATCACGAGAACATGTTTTGAACTTTATCCAAAAAAACTACCATTTGGAACATTGCGACCCACGGGTGGGAAGTTTGACAGAGCGAAAAAGACTCTGGTCCGAAACGGCATTAAACGAAAAATCGCCCTTGTTATGAATGTGTTAAGGCCAACGTCGTGATTGGCTTTCCTCCCTTCTGCACGCATGCCCGTTCACGGTGATCTCTCATCTTGCAATTTCTATGCGATATTGGAGCTACAGTTATTTGGGCTCCTATAGTGTCATGCAGATGTAGTCTTTCAGTGTCCTACCTAAAGTCCGAAGCACACTTCCTTCCGTGACATTAAGCTTCCGCTCCTTTAGGCGTATATGGCCAGCACTCACTGCTATACAGTGCTGCTGGGTGGGTAATGGTCGGTTCGTCTTGACTCGAGATGCACTGGCATTCTTTCCTCGCATAAAACTGGCTCTCCTTTCATCTACGCTGGGTCCATCCTGCTCTTGTAGGCCTCTTTCCGCTGAGATGTGGCTGCCTAGGTGTTTGTATGACGTTCTCTTCATCAGCTCTTCACCATTGATGTTCATTATACCTGGACTTTGTCTCCCCACTTTCATATATTCCGCCTCCCTGATATTGAGCTTCACAACTCTAGCCTTTTTGGGTCTTGCAACTCCTTTCTAGTACTTGCTACTAACAAAACCACACAATCTGCGAGACATTCGAGGATATTCACGAGTGGTTCCATCACGACTTCATCACAATGACGAAGGGAAGGAAGAGAGAACTGAAATTTGATGCACTCCAGACTTACTTCAAAACATACTTCTCCAAAGTCGCGGGACATTGCCCCGCTTCACTTGCTCCTTATATGCAGACTGCATCGACTGCCGTCTCCGGAGTGCAGAAGATCTGCCAACTTTCGAGAACAACAAGAAGTAAGTGTACCCCCATCGATGGTGGCTAGAGGAAGCCTGCGATGCCTTCTTTCCTTGCCTTCACTGAATCAACCGCTCGAACCGTCCCTCTCACCTTGCGAGACGGTATCCTTTGCTCACTCTTCGCATTTGTCGGCGGATAAGCATCGCTTTCGAGGGACGTTCAAGCTTTCACTCGAAATACCTTGTGAGACATGCTTGAACTGGACGAGGTATTTCTTAGCCGGCAGTTAGTCGCATACCATTTTGAAAGGGCAGCCTGACACTAAAACTGTGAGCAGAATCGTTGTCGCAGAATTTGGGCTCAGGGTGGAATCATCCCTTCAGCGCGGCAATGTGATAGAGAACAATTAGACTAGACAATTAGACTGCTTAAGTATTATCGTACAACTATGTTTAACCAGAAATCTCGAAATGATTCAGCTTTTCAGGGACGACGGAACCTGCTGATTCTCGCATGTGCCTACCTTCTAACTGTAGCAGGAGTGATAATAGTGACTATCTCTAAGGAAGTAAAAGTTTTCTAATGTGGAGCTGGAATTGGCATTAGGCATTTGAAATAAAGTGATCAATCAGGTTTAATTACTGAAGAAACAAACAGGGAAGAGTCGCATACCTCGAAATCAACAGTGCATAAGATAAAGTGTTCAAAACAGAGTTTTGCCTCAGCGCGTCACTATTTTTGAAATTGTTTTTTTTATCTCCGAGTATCTGACTAGTACCCTTGGAAGAGAATCTGCCAATGTACGCGATGATAATAGTTGAGGGTCAGAGAGCAATGCAGCCACTTCTCGAACAATGGCAATGACGATAAGTTGTAGAGCATGGCGAAGAAAACGATTACCACTCTAGTTTGTAGCTGCCTCTACCGGCTCCCTTTAAAGCTTGAGCAAAAATTTAATCAACATCAAGAACTCGAAGATTGGGACCGCAAGATATGACAGAAAGAGGTGGAAGTTTGCTTCAACTAACTAACTTTAACACTCAAGAAGTATACAAAATTATGCAAGCTTAATAGTCGATTCGTATGCTGAAGTAGCTTGTAATTAAGTTACGTATTGTTCTCGTTCGGTTAGTGGGTTTGACTCTTTGAACCAGAATAGAAATACACTTAAGCTTTCTATTTACTTTGTTTTGCTTCCCGCTCAGTCACGTGAAGCCATAATCGTCATCAAGCTGATGGTATATCCATCGTTGAGCGGAAAGTTAGGCAATCACAGTCTTAAAGGCAGTGTCCGGGCAAGATGGGGGCTTTGGAATTTCAGTGCCATGCAAGAGTGGCCCCCCTCAGACACAATATCGCGCAAGTGCGACGTCATAACCCTCGACCTAAAGCAAGAAAGACGACCGGAAAGTGGGGAATTTACGCCTTGGGGCGGAGTCGTCCGAGTTGTCCGAATTTCCGCTATGCGGCAGAGTACGCATGCCGCCACAGTTAAATAGTAGGGTCCCGCAGCACTCTGCGTCTCTGCCTTAGTGGGGACCGTCAAATTTCAAATTGTGCGGCTTTGGAAAACGTACGTTCTCGCCATTTTCGCGCCTTTCAATGTGGATTTTCGAATTTAGCGTTGCGGATAACCCCCGGTAAGTGGATTTTCTAGAAATCGAGTTTTTGGCCGGACACTGCCTTTAACGTGAAGAGCCCAAAAAAGACATACTTGCACGTTTGATTCATGTCGAGGTAGAAGAGGTAATGTACACCCGTAACGATGATGTTTACTACAAAAAAACAAAACTTTTCTCCCACAATCAACTTTTACAGCAACAAAACCAGTTTGAAAACTTTGTCAAAAGTGTACAAGTTAGACCTCGTCAAATTATGAGCTATTTTGCCACAATATCAGCGAGGTAAGCTAATTTAATCATATAAGGACCGAATATATAAGGGAAAACTATCTTACGACTCACTCCAAAACGAAATCAAGCTTTTACTTATGACATATACTCAAACTGCCCCATCTGATCCCAAAGTCATTGCGACTCCCAACACCCGGGAATGCCTTTCAACATGGCTCCAGATCAGGAGTCACACCGCTTGCGGCAGCCGCTCGCCGCGCCAAATCTTGTGCCTCGCGAAAACTTTCCGGTGTTAAAGTGGCACGGCGCCAAGTAGGAGGGTGGGAGGTGGCGACAGGTACATGACTCAATACCATAAGTAACATTGCGGCAGGAGTACTGACGGGAGCTGAGGCTTGTACTGCTTGACGTCGCGGCGGCGTCGCTTCGCGAAGAATCGTGACTCCTGACCAGTATCCTTTCAAAACACGTGTGACCCTCCTATGAAGACATGCTTGGATCACTCGTTATGAAATTTGGCAGTATTCCAATACACATGCTATTGGCAGCAATCCAGGGTAAAACAGGAGGATATTTCAACCTGATTTCTCCATTTTCCGTCTCCTCATTTGCCAGATCCACGGATCTGGGGGAGCGGAGTGGTAAACAAGTTTCTGTTATATATTGGGTTGGAAATTAAGCTTTGCAACTCATTCAATAACTTTCCTCTATTCCAACATGGCGCAGCCATTGTGTAGATTAGATGAAAGCTACAAGTGCAGCTACTGTTCTGCCAAGCTCTGACGTCGCAGTGAGGGTCGCAGTAGGTATACAGTATGAGGTAAAAATTTACAAAATGACAGATTTAGCTTAAACTTGGCATAAGGGGTTATTCGACATGATGATCACGACAACGATTATGTAGGTTCGCTGTACGTTTGCGATATAGGGTCTCACCCCAAACAAGGAAAGAGGCTTTGATTAAACGAATGAATATGATATTATTCAATGTGATATTCATGTTTGGCAGGTCAAATAATCTTACTATGTGAAGTCTAGCTGAGTTTAGATTCTTACTCCTTGATCATTGATGGGTGTCCCCAGCAGCCTTGCGTACAGCAACTCGTTCGACTTTATGAGGGCGCCAAAATCTCGAAACGTTCACAAATTTTATTCCTTTCTTAATGAGCCGCAAGAGTCGACTTCTAGCTTCGCACACGATTCCGAATTGTGCGTATGATCAAGCTGCTAACGGCTTCATTTTGGCTTATAACCCCTCTTGAATTCACTACTTTTCCAAAGATGCCTAGTTTTCTAATTCGCGCTCCATTCAAACAGGTAGTCCTCAATTGTAGCACACATTAGGTTCACATATTGCCAGAGTTTAAGTGCTACACATTCAAAGAGAGTAAAGCTATAAAAGAAATTGCAAAACTTAGTTTCCAGGTTAATATTACGTAGCGATTTTATACATCTCGTCCTCCACACTCACAATTTTGTATCATTTATGTTTCAGCAACTTTCGGGTGAAGTGTCACAAGTGGGTATGAATCTGACTTCAAACAATGACCCATACACTTTACTTACGGGTGAGGACGGTATACAGGGTGGCCGAAAAGTATGGGCGTCAAATTATTTGTTCAGTAATTTCCCATGGAAGACAAAATCCTGTGAAATTATTTTTGCATGCCAACAACACATGCATCTTAGTGTGTTACTCCTGCAAAACTAGGTTGCTGCACATGCGTACATACTTCAGCAGCTTATCTTGAAGTTGATGCGTCAAAAATGTTATATGAAAATGTATCCATTGCGAATTCGTTGAAATAATCTAATTACTAATCGAAAAGATTCTAAAGACCTGAAATTTTGTAGAGAACAGTCCAAATAATAACACAATGCCATAATGGCAATAATTCTCCTCTCCAAAATGAAATGGGGTACTACAAATGGACTGAACTCTCCGCAGCACCGTTCAAATAGAGACAGACTCTGGGGTCCCGTTTGCGTCAGAAGACTTCAGTTTCCGTGATTATCACTTATCTTAATATGGAGCTCGTCCATACGCTACAGAAATATTAGCCGCCATGATAGAATATCTTAGGAAAAAGATATAACACATGTTGTAACGCCTGTATTTACCGGCCACCTTGTAGTGCCAATACGCTCCACTCTTCGCGGAGCTGCATTTGGTGCAGATGTACGTACCTTTCTTTTCGGCGACTTAGCTTCCTTTACCCTACACTGTACCTAATGTAGGTGTCTAAATAGTTTTGCAGAGAGCGAAAGCTTTTCATGACAATACAGCCCTCTCGTCCAGGATCTCGGGCGACGGCTCGGTCAAACTACAATCGGATGTTTTACTATCAAGATACTGCGTAAAGTTACGATAGATGTAATTAGTCTGTGGGGAAACATACGGGGGCTTTCAGTCTGAGGGCATGCATTAACATTTCCGCCGGGGAGGGGATCGCAAGATACAAAGAAAGCTTCATATTCTGAAGCTCCAGGTATCTGAATTTCACGCCATACAACCCATCCGTAGGTATTCTCACCATCCTTCAACATACCAAACCAAGTACAAGCCGCTTTTCCAGCTTTTTGTATGATCTGATGACCCCGGTAGTCGACCGTCTTTTCTTCAAAGTCATTTTCTTTCTTCGAAGCTAATGAAAACGTTCTAAAGTTGTACTCTTCGTCGCAGGGTTTCAAAATCTTTGATGAAACGCTGCTCGCGAGCTAGGTATCGAAAAATTAACAATCTTCACATTCCATTTCTCCTGCTGAAAACATGTTTAGCAGTGCCGAAGTATAATATATCCTCAGCACAATTTTGCAGCATTTTCATTAACTTTTGAGAAAAGATGACTTCGAAAATGAGAGGTGATCTCCCGGGGGCAAAAAACCAATCTTGTGTGGCAGTAATGGCATCCATTATGCACAGGTATATGGGTATGAGATTCATAAGCAAGATAAAGAAGGAAGAAGAAAGATACCTAGAGTAGCGAGATATGACGCACCCCCTTTCTGATCCCCTCCTCTCCCCAGCGGGGATGTACGTGCTTACGGGGCTAAGACACTGTCCAACCGGCAGCTCAATGGTGTCTAACGGCTGAGATATTCGCCTCCAAACTGGACCCCAGAGTCTCGCATGGTTCATGACAAGACACACCAGTTTCTCGTGGTCCTCGCGCGAAAGCATGCAAACGCAAGTCGTCATGTGATACGATCCTCAGTCCAGTTTGAAGGCGTTCATCTCAGCCGTTAGTTAGTCATTTGCGCTGCCACTTGGACCGTGCCTCAGTTGGGGCAACAAATTGATCCCCGTAGGGCCAGATTTGCCTGGACGTTGCCTTTAACTTCGAAAAAAGAAAAATGACTCTGAAGAAAAGACGGTTGGCTGCGGGGATCATCAGGGACTGTGCAAAAGCTGGAAAATGCGGCTTGTACAGCCTCCTGCTTTCACTCGATATGCTTACAGTGAAGGATGGTGGGAATCTTGCGAATAGGTAGACAGCTTGAAATCCACGTATCTGGAGCTTCAGGTTAAGAAGCCTTCTTATACACTCCCAGCGGGGATGTTAGTGCATGCGGCCCTGACTGTCCCGGTCGGCGCGCCCGTGAAACGCCTCGCTTGGGTATCTCGCCGCGTCCTCAGCAAATACAAACACCGCAAACAAGCGGTATTTTCACACAATGGACATTTGTAAAAACCGTACCCTTGTGCATCAATGGCTCGGGAAAATGCCTCGAAACACGTTCGCCAACGCGTAGAGTGGCCTAAAGGTGCTCGATCCGAGCCGCCCACCGTGACACTTAGAGATTTAAAGCTTTTGTACACATCAACTCAAGTTCTATCATTAATGCTATTCTGCAGGAAATTCGCATACATATGCTTGGGGACGAAGTTAACCAATATCGATATCATGTGTTGCTTATT